GTCTCCAAAAGAGAATTTGAACTGAGAGTGAACGGTGGTACACCTGCTCTATTAATTGAGCTCCGAAACTTAGAAAGAAAATGAACCAAAATAGAGTATGATCACTTTAACTAGAGACTTTATCATACTGCACAAAAGGGGGGGAATTAAGGTTAAAGGGGGAAGCTAAGGTTACACAGACAGCCTTAATATTAATGTTACCTAACTTTGAGCGCCTGACCTAGCATCCCTAATAGTATTATTTTAACATAATTTTTAATGTGTAATTATTTATAAAGCTCCAGACAGTAGGTGTGCATGATGCTTTACAGGCATATAAAATTGACTGATCCCTGCCCCTAGGAGCTTGCGTGATGACACCATACAAGGGATGGGAAAGGAGGGGGTATGGGAGGACAGAGTTGCAACACTGTGAGATCATGAGATGTACTTACTGCTACATAAGCAACATTTCAGCTTCTCTGTGGTTTTCTTGTTACTCATTTAACACTATATATTAAAATTTGGTGAACAGATACATAGCACAAAGAAATCAACTGTAAGAAAGGATATGAAGAAAGAGAACTATGTAGTACAGTGTTCAGTCAGCAGTTAATATTAAAACATTCGCAGTCAAACATTGCATGTAGTCAATTATTTATATGGTGTTAGCCCTCGGCACCTCCAGCTAAGGTCTGGATTCTGCTCCACTAGGCACTGTACAAACATATTGTGAGATATGATAGCTGCATTATGGTTTTTACTGTAAAAAAACAGTCAGTGGCTGAAGGGGATATCAGAGGCGGAGAGACAAAGATGGTTTAACAGGTTAGAGGCAGAGCCAAGGGTAGAGCTAGAGTGTTCTGACATTTGATTTGATATTCTACATGCTAACTAATAAGTGTATTTGGATTAAGATTGCTTGAACAAGAATCCCAAAACAAAACAAAAAAGAGTGTACTTGCAAGTTGCTCCCATGTACTGGAAAACAAAACCATGGAGGAAACACCCCAGCTTGGAAACCCTGGAATCTGGGGACCTTCTTTTAGAAATTTCTGTTTCTGTGCTCTGGGAACTGAATGAGATTTGAGCTCTCCTGCTGTTGTCATTTCTGTGTGTGCAAAGCCTGTGGTACGTGCCATTTCTGACCTGGCCATACTATTATGCTGCTATGTACAGACAAACCTATTGCATGTTTAAGACTGTACCCTTAAATGCTCACAGTTTTCCTTGACTTCATCAGCAGATGAGGTGCAGACCCTGCTGTGATATTCTAATGCTATCAGGCATTTCAGCTACACAGAGACCACCCAGGCCACCCAGTAAACAATTCCAGAAACTCTAAGAAAAATGAATTTAAAACTAAACATACAATTAACCAGAGTAAGCAACATGGCAAAATACTCTTGATCTCTTGGAGCACAGGCTAAGCCTCTGCACCAAACCTAGGTAAGAACTGTGGACTTGATTCTGCTCTTCACTGCAGTTCTTCACAGTGAACTTGTTCTTCACATGTGAAAAATACCACTTTAACTTCCTTTATAGCCCTTCACACTCCAAATATAATTTGCTTCCACTTTAAAGGTACTTTTCACAGCCCACAGAGTACAAAATAATTTTAGTATACAGCATTATAAATTCCTAGGAATTAGTTATCTCACTGGGTGAAAAGCCCAAGCTTTAGTCAGCTTTACAATTTAAAATGGCAAGCTAAATATTTCCATTATTCTTATTAACCCTTTTTCCCAAGCCTCGGCCAAATTAGTCACTAAATAAAATTTCTGGCTTCAGTGGAGCTCAGACTCAAGGAGGACTCCGATTCACTGCTGCCAACCACTGCTACTTTACAGTAGCGACGTGTTCTCCCAATTTCTTTGTTCTTATCTTCCTTTTAGAATTGAGCTAGATCTTGGTACACGACTAGAAGAAGATAGAAAGGAATTAATAAACTCCATGTAAAAATTTCCTTTAAGTTTTGCAGCTTATGAAACATATTTAAAACTCTGTATAGCTTGGTATCAATTATTCACATGAACTGCACTTTGAGTTGTCTGGGAATTTAGGAGGCTGGTTTGGTCCTGAAAGTAGCCCGTTCATCACAAGAACTATATACAATCTCAGAGCTCCCAACAGATTTTATTAGTGGGGTGGCAGCTGCTCTGACAGTGGAAGTTGAAACTGATGTTCTCCAAATTTGGCTGTACTCAGAATTGTACTCAGAATTGATTTATATCCCACCAAAACAAGAATTTCATACAAATAGGTTTAAAAAAACCTCCTTATTTTTTTCCTTCCCGCTACACTTAGGAAGTGGCTTTTGAAAACTTAGCAAGTTGACCTCAAAAGGATTTAGACAAGCACAATTTTCAAAGTTGGTTTTTTTACAAACATAGGCTAGGAGTGGAATTGGATTTACCTTCAAATATTACTGGCACATTCAGAGCATAAAAGTGTAAAAGATATTACTATCAGCATCGCTGCTGTGGCAATCTAAGTGGTTGCTGACATAAGATTAAAATAAATCACAAATGTTAAGTTTCTGCTATACCCTAAAGTTGATCTGAAGCAATTTTGCTGTCCCAGAGCCTAAAAAATAAACAGAATTTATGAAAAATAACCGCACTCCCCAAACAACAATAACTGTCTCCTATTTCAGTCTAAAACCACTCTTTTAAAATTATGGACATATTAGATAAATACAGAATATTTAGCATGATAAAATCACAAAAAAGATTAAGTTGGAAGCCTAGCCTAACCTCCTGCTCCAAGCAGGGCTAATTTCAAAGCCAGACCAGGCTGCCCAAGGCTTTGCCTGTCTGAGTTCTGAGACCCTCCAGGCATGGATATTCCTTGACCTCTCTAGGCAACCTTTTCCACTGCTTAACTGCTCCCATTTTCAGGAATTTCCTCCTTATATTCAATTTTTATTTTCTTTACAGCAGCTGGTGACGGTTGCCTCTTGTCTTTTCACTGTGTATCCCTAAAAAGCCTCATAGTCCTCCTTTGTTTAGGGAAAGACTGCAGTCAGGTCCCTCCTTACCCACATCGCTTTTGCAAGGTGAACAACCCAGTTGCCTCCTCTCCCCCTCGTACCTCGTGTGCTCCAGTGCCCCAGCCCCCTCAGTGGCTCTCCTCTGGACTCTCTCCAGTTCGCCAATCTCTCTTTTGAATTGGGGGCCCAAGACTGGACACGGTACTACAGCACTGGCCTCACAGCGGCTGAGCAGGGGGAGTAATCACTCCCCTGATTGTGATGGGCAGTACACCACACTATCCTTCCAGCTTCCACTCCTTTGGCTCAGCAAGACCCCTGAGCAGCAGTCCTGCTGGCCAGCTTATGGAATGTCCCATTGTCTCTTCTATGTGCACTCTTTCCAACTATTAAAAATTTTGTGCGTTTGTGTGGCAAAGGTAAATCTCAGTGCAACGTACAGAGTATGTACCTTTGGTTGAAGTGAAAGAGAACACTTCAAGAGAAGTGTTCAAGAGAACACTGACTTCCAAGAGGGAGTGTGTCACTCAATGACCAGTGGTCAATCTTTTATTTGACTAGAAAACCAGAAAAAGTCCAAAATATTTTTTGCTGATTAGGATTGTTCTGACAGGGCTTTGCTTTGATGTCTTTGCTCAACATTATGGTAACTTCTCCCCTCCCCCCCCACAACTCAATGTGCACATGTGTTTTCCTAACCAGTTTAGATGCTGCATTTCGAGGAAAGTTGGATTGCTTAGTTATCTTACAAGGCCCAATCTAAGTCTACTGAAATGAATACTGCTTTTTTGGATCAGGTTTGGAATGTTAATTGCAGTTACTATACCAGTCTATCTGATCCTCCAAATAGAGACTGCATCAGGACCTAAGAAACTGTAAAAGGACAAATCATGAGAAAAATGTATTGTTGAGCAAGTATCTAAGTGAGGCTTGATCTTGTCCCCATTGATACTGATAGATAAAGAAAAGCCCTGAGATCATTCCAATAGGTTAAATACTGACTTTGGTCTAATTTATCCCTAATTTATCGCCCACTGCATGATCCAAGGTGAAGTTCTCCCTCAGAAATGTGTGGAAGGAAATAACTAGGTCATGATACATGCTCTTATGAAGGGACTACAGATTAGCAGCTGAATGGAGAGAGACCAGAAAGCACAGACTCTGTGTCAACTGAGAATTCAGAGGAATTTCTGGCCCCTGTCCCATGACTCTGCAGCATCACACAGAGCGGATCCCTGTCAGTATTACCAGGCCACCCTCCTTGCTGGAGGCACAGCTTCCTATTTGGCCAGTTTGTATTTGCAAAGTCCTATAAATTTTGGGTTCCCTTTGCAGCCCCGCCACCAACTATGTGAGTTTTGGCAAACAAACAGTGTCAGAGTCACTTGTGCTTGAAGGCAGTTTCTACTTAAATTTGAGGTTCTCGTATTTTCTTGCAAAAACTGCAGGAAAATGTTTGTTTATGTAAAAAAAAAAAAAAAGGAAATATGCTGAAAAAACCCCCCCAAGGTATAATGCCAGTGGAGGTTAGCATTAGGTGAACATATATATGCATGCACACACCCACAAACCAAACCCCAAATTTCACTGAATACAATCCTTTTCCACCTGGCTTTCAGTGGCTTGGATTTTTCCATTTTATGAATTTTCCATTTTATGACCTGCATGTCATTTTTCTAGATCAATATATAGTAACATTTTAAGCACTTCATATGCTGTGAGAACTACAAAATAAACCAAACTGTAACAAAATTATTTCAGACTTCTTGGAGAAATCAACTCTGGAGGGCAGCGGTCTTTTGCAAGAAATGTAACTACAAGTTCAAACAGAAAAGTGACCTTTGCCTGTTGCTACAAGTATGTCACTGGAGGGGATTTGGCAGTGAGCTTTTCACTGGGAGGAGTCACTTGGCATTGGTACTGGTTTATGAAAGAGCAGAAGAAAGAAGAAGTTGGTTTTCTTAAATGATTCCCTACAAAGAGGACAGGCAAGATATTTTCCAAGAGCTGGTTGCAAATAAACTTTTACCTCTGTGGAGCACTGTCAGATCCCACGCTATCGCAATAGGTGTTCTTTACAGGGCATGTCTCTGCGCCATACATTGCATCTGCCTCAGCTGAGTCCACATAGCCATTGACCAGCTTGATGTCTCTCAACTTCATACCGTCATTTTGTGAATCCAAAGATACAACGTCAGATGGGGAGCTCACAACACCCGAGTCTTCCATGGTGTCCTCAGATGCAAAACAGCTGCTTTCTGATGCTGTTTCTTCCACCTCTGATAGCTCCAGAACCATGTCATCCACTACATAAACATTTTCATGTGCAGGCAGCAGGCTCTCTAAATGAAATATAGCAAGGAAAGTTAGATGAAAGTCATCAGTACATAAATCAAACACAGAGAGCTATTCCTTTGTAATTGGAAAAAAACACATGAAATACATTAGAAATAGTAGGATAGAGCTCAATATTTGTATAGGATAAAGATGATTTGAAAAGTGACAAAAATTTTGTCCTTCTTTGCTTTTAGAAAGGTGGTTTGCTATGCCTGTCCTGCAGAGTTTGGGTTTTATAACTTTCATAGCAAATCAGTTTCCTGACTTCTATGAAGAAAAACTTTCCAGGGACAGTTTCTTGGGGAATTAGACCAAAGTTTAAATCATGTGGTGCAAGAAATCACTCCTGTTATTGCTTCTGACAACATAATCTCATTATTCCTCTTCCATGCTGCCAAACAGATCATGACATTTCCAATAAGAAGTCTATACACAGGTAAAAATGGGCAGCACAGATCTACTGGCCCACTGGGTGACACTTTATTTTACCACCCTTCAATTTCCTATGTGTTAAGCGGGAGAATAACAATTGTCTCTTTTTCAAAGCATACAAAATCTACTAATAAGTGTACAGAAAAGTAGACACTATTATGCTTAAAGCAGAACCTTTTCCAATGTTTAGTCATTTATAAAGGAGATCAAGGGATAGGCCCTTTGCATGTTTAACTCTCTTAAAAGTTGCAAATTTTGAGAGAAGATTAGACACAGTACAATTTTTCGTACTCTGTTTCAGTTTGGTTCCTATGAGCTACTTGGGTTTTCGTTTGTTTTGGGGTTTTTTTGGTGAAAAATACAATTTTGTTACTTCCCTTAAGAAATGTGCAACTCTAGATTCCATGCTGCAATTATGCCATTAAAGGGAAACTCCCAACAAGGTCAATAATTTCAACGACTGAAATTATTTAGTGACCAAAGACAGAATCAAGCCCAAACACACTTCTTTTGATTAAAAGGAATCAATAAAGACTAATCTAAATGTTTAATTTGGAATTATAAGTGTGCTCCGTTCTCTTCTTCAACCTCAGTAAGCAAAAGGAAGATTAAACTATAGTTTATGGTCTGATCCTGCAGACACTTGTGGTGGATGTTAATTATATGAGAAGTCCCAGGTCTACAAGCATGACTAAGATTAAACATACACTCCACTGTTTTTTAGGGTCAGAATCTACAACTTTTTGAAGCATACATGAAGCTAGAGGTCAATAAAAACGATCAACAGAGAGAAATACTTCTGTATTATGTGTATACACAAAAGTATTTTCTTTAAATCAGAGAACTGAAAACAACTTTGTTAAAAAACATCACAGAAATAATTTTGTAAGGGTGTAGCTTAGCAGTGAAGCTTTGAGTAAAACTAAAATAAAAATCAAACCAACATTCTCCTTGACTGAGGTTACAAGATGCCATTAAGTACTGAAATTGATTTCTGACAGCAGAAGCAATAAAATTCAGAGGGTTACAAATCATGATTAAAGTTGTAAGTGCTGTCAAGCATCGATATTAATGATGGAAGATGATCCAAAGACTCTATTGCGACTTTGGAAGTAATGTTACTTGATTTCTTTGACCTTATTTTCTATAACATTAGCTCTAGGTTTCAGATTTAATCCAAGAGATCGTTCCATCTAAAAATGGCAATTATAGGAACTACATACGTGTCACTGAATGGATTAGAATATGCTCATGACAGAACTACAGTTAGGAAAACACCAACATCAAGGAGAAATACGAATAATTTTACATTAAATTCCAAATAATAAAGCCCCACAAAAATAGACAGTAAACAAACAGGTAAGATTATATGGCCTGCTTGGCTTTCAAACAAACAAAACCCCCCAGTAACAACTCACCACCAAAGCATTAGTAAAAGCTACAATATGTTAAAACCAGAACAAAGTAGGATAGCAAAGAAATCAAATTAAAGAGTGGAAGTTGAAGAGTGGAAGCACATGAGAAGATTTTGAAGCAATGCACAATGCAGTATACCTTGATGCAAAGAGACCTCTGTATAACACAGGCCACATCTATTGTCACCAGGATGCCATAAATGACCTCCATCCCATAGCTGGCACAGCAATTTATAACAAAGTACCCACTTCCAGTTCCTGACACAAGGATGGCAGGCTTTTCCTCCCTAGCTGTCTCTCTCATTTCCTCATCCTCTTCTCGCCTGCCTGCAACTATTTCCTGCATCTTTCTGCTCAGGGATTTAGACCCTTTTGGTCACACAGCCCTACTTGCCTACTGTAGTAACAACACTCAAGTCTCTGATGTGATTCAGCAAGCTGTTCTACAGCAGGATCTCCATCCCCCAGCCCAGTCTTCCCACATATTGACAAACAAAACAAAAACCAATTCTCTTATTATCAGGGTCCACGTGCGAATCAATCCCTATCTGTTACGTCTGGATCTCGGCAGCTGAATCCATCCAGTCCAGTGTAAGAACCTCCTCATTCAACAGCAGTTTTATCCTGAGGCACAGAACTTCAGAAAGACATCTTTCTAGTCAACGATTAAATTCCCTGTGTCAAGGAAAACCAAAATGTCCCCCTTTCTTCAAGCCTACCAGTTTGTCAAAGTGCTTCCCTAATCTTTTATCTTCATCAAGAAGATCCATTAATTTTTAACACATTTTTAACAGATATGGCACTGAACAGAGTTGCTGGCTGGTTAAGATATGGCACTGAACAGAGTTGCTGGCTGAGGCAAACCATTTTGATTGCCACTACTATTAGTCTGAACGTGAAAGCACACACATAAAACATGACTGCTACAGTTCTGTGTCATGCTAACAACCTTGTTTCAGCTAAGAGCAGCACTAAAACACCCCTGTTTTAAAGTTGAGCCATCCTTGGATGGCTTAAGTAAGAATCTATTCTTCCTTCTACACGCTTGATTACGTCTCCACTGGTGCAAACTGAAGATGGATGGGCATTACTGGGTAATGATACATGACATGAAAAAAGCCTACCTCAACCTTACTGAGTGGTCTTGACTCCAGGAGCCAGAAAATACCTTTTAAAACTTTCTAATTCTACACAGAGAACTGGGTAACGCGCAGCAGTAGATGTGATTCTGCTTTGTGATTTTTGCATATTTTTTCTCAAGAGGAGTGCACATGCAGAAAACCACCACCACTAAGCACAGTGTGATCACAACAATGGCGGCTACTGAGGTTATCTGTTGGTCGAATAAAGAAAAATCTCAACATTTGTTCCTCTCTTCTCCGTCATGACACTGAGAAGATTTCAGTATGGGCTCTGATCTTCAAGACTTCATGTAGACACATCCAGGTTAAGACAGAATATTCAGCAAGTACTTCAGGAATGGACACAGAAATAACAATTGCCACAGATAATATATTACTGAAACACTGCTGTACCTCAGAAGACTGTCTGCATTTCCAAACATATAGCAATGCCAAGAACTTTTTTTCAGTAACATGACACCCCGTTCACTGGCTTCAGGTGGAGTGTGATATTGAAAGGGGTGAAGAACTTGGCCCATGGTCCCCAAGTCATACTGAAATCTCCATGGGACATCTCACCCACAAGTGAAATTGGAGAGTGTCCCTCAATGCCCTGCATTGCCGCTTACCTACGTCCTGCTCCAGGTTGCAGACTGTGCAAAGCCCAAGCAACTGCTATACCAGGGACTGCCCCTGCTTAGCAGCAGCAGCGCTGTCACTGCACAATGAGGTCAACCGCAAGTTACAAAGGCTTTCTTGGGGGGGGGACTGGGACGTCTGTTTGCAAGAATGTTGCCCGTGATCACCAAGAGGGAAAGAGGAGAGTAGCTCATCACTAAAGAATGTGAGCTTCTTGTTTAACACAAAAGAGATCTTGTCGCTTTAATCTCAATAGGCTGCAAGTAATTAGGAAAACACTGAACTCCCAAGTTTAGAGGAGTCATATCTGCACTCGTGCAGTTTGATATCGCATATATGTACACATTACTCATACAGAATACCAATGATGGGGAGACAGATAAATCTCACCTGGTTTAAATGCCAATCAACACTTTCAGAAATGAAGATTTAATTCAATAGGTGAAGACTACCATGGGTAAAGTACTCACTTTGATTACTACTATGAAAATAACCACCACCGACTTTGAATGAGATTAGAATCAGACCTAAGTGTTCAAAAGACACATATCCTACTCAGACTTACAAAATCAGTCACCAAAGCCCAAGCCATCACTCCCTCTGAGTCCAATGGGCACAGGGCATAAGTCTTGTCAGGCTCTAACTGTTCGCTAAGTGCTGTGACCTTCTGGTTTTACAGCACTGCTAGTGGTTGACTGTCACATTCAATAATGACAGAAACAGTATATCCAAAAGCATTTTTAAAGAGGAAACAGTTGATTTAACCCCTACATGGTGAATAATCTGAACTTCGTAATGGTTTTAGAGATGCAGAGCTCCTCTAATTCCTCTGAGTTCTTGCTAAGAGGTTGGTAATTATTTTCCAATTTCTTTCATCACTTGTTCCACTGCCAAAAAACTTTCTTTTCATGGACTAAAATTGCTTTGCTGTAGTTCAAATGGTCTATTACAATGAAGTTGTAAAAAATATTACAAACTTCATGATGTTAAAGAATATTAATTCTTTAATGATCCCCAAATTACAACATAATTATTTCACTGACAGTACTTAAAACTTCTAGCAACAGAAAGAAACACTGCTCTAATTATTTGTACTGGCAGTAAAAAGTTAGACCATCACAAAAGACCAGTATTAAAAAAGTGTACATTTTTTCATACAGTTGGAAGAAGGCTAGTGGAAGAAATGGGAAAAGAGAACGTTTATTATGGCAATGATTAACAGTGATTACGAAAATGGACAACACAGGATTAGCTTAAGAGTTTTCACAAAGGTACAATATGTTCTGGTTACATTTTACTCATTTTGCTCATCGATCAAAAACTTGTTGTAGAGATAGGTGTTAAAAACCATTCAGTGAGCAGTTAAAGCACAAGACAGAATGGGCGGACTTCTCTCTA